ATTTATGATGGTCAAAGTGGCGCTAGGGCGGGTTTTTTCCGAGTATTTCGGTTTCCCCTGCCAGTCTTCATTCCACCAAATTCTCCAGCATCATAATCACCCGGGGCAGGCTACAATAGTCCAATCAGTGACCGCAGTGCCGAGTGGACCCAGTGGAACTCCACCCTCCATTAAAAGAATAAAAAAAACTACAATTGCTACATTTACGTGAAGAGTGAGGGTCAGCGTTTTTGTAAGCGTACTTTTTATTTCCGTTTTAGTGGTCTATTTTCCGACTGTTAAAATTAATGCTAGAGGAAAATATAAGACTCTAACCCTCCAAGAAAAAATCGAAGTTATAAACAAATTTGATCATGGTGCTTCCATTCAAAGTTTAATGTATCAGAATGGTATAAGTAAGTCCACCTTATACGATATAAAATAAAATCGTAAAAGAACATTGGAATCTGTGCTAAAAGCGGGTGATCCATGTAGTGATCACGCTAAAAGCCAAAAAGTACAATTGGACCCAAACAGAACGAAATTGATGAGGCTGTTTACCAGAGGTATGAGCAACGGCGTTCTATCGGCGTCCCTGTAAGTGGAGTGGAGTTGCATGGTGCTGGGGAGAGGTTTGCTCAGACTTGGAGAGCCCAATTTCATAGCTAGAACAGGTTGGATTTTACACTTCGTAATAGGCATGGTATTGCAAATAGAAAATTCTGCGGATAAAGGCTGAATGCAGATGGTGAGTGTTGAGACTGCCCCATAGAAATTCAGTGATAGAATGCTCAAGCCATTAAAGATGACAGTTCAGTGCCTAGTATGGTGCTAAACAGAACTTGTGTGTGCCAATGCAGGCAGATCTCATTGCCTAGAACCAGGTGTTACTGGCAAGCCAGCTAAGGCTAGTCGTCCATTGGAAGCGGAAACCTGCGAACTGGGATTCCACCAAAGCTGTGCGAAGTCTGTTCGTCCGAATTCGTGCGCTCACTGCATATCCTTTGGCTGCGTGTTCGGCCGATGCCATTTGCGTTCGGTCACGCAAGGTCATGGCGCTGTCTGAAGACTTATGTGATCTGTACGCATTAGATACTCGTTTACCGGCTAGGCAACGAGCACAGAAAAGGAGGCAAGAGTGCATTAGTGAAATTTTATCAAAAAGACAAACGTTTGGTGAATTCTCTCATATATGGAGTGATTTACAAGAGGACGAGTCACAGTATTTTGGTTATTTTCGCATGAAGCAAGATACGTTTGAATACACATTAAGCAAAGTACATCAGTTGAAGAAGTACAGTAACTTCCGAGAAACTATTTCACCTGAAGAACGTCTAGCTGTAACTTTAAGGTAAGGATTTGATAATAATTTGAGAAAACAAAATGTTACATCGATGTTACATTATTCTTGCTTTTTTTTAATGACTACATACAAACCATTGTTTCTACAAAGGTTCGAAATTACCACAATACACAGCAGCATTGTTCTGGTCTGTTACAAATTCATTGCTGTGGGAACTATTATGAGAACTGCGAGTCGATCCAAAGGATAGAGGTGAAACATTTGACGTGGACATCACGCTGCTGTTTCGATCCTCCTGTTCCTGCAGTAGAACATACATCAATTTCATGCATATTCGCAGATTTCTTTCTTCAGGCACTTCCTGCAAGGATGGCAACAAGCTCATCAGAAGGTGATAGTCGCTATCCTGTTTCGTTTGAGAGCTCTTTTCGAAGTAGCTCAACTTTTTAGGTTCTATTTCCAAGAATTTGTCATCGTAATTAATTATTTTCTTTCTTCCTTTTAGCGGACTTTTGAACTACTTATTTTGTGCAGGAGACGTATTTACAGGTGCATCATTTTCTCGAGAGGGATCCGAAGTAGTATTCTGCATATCTGATTGAAAATCTGGAGTAGAAAATGCATCATTATATTCACTTTGTGTTGTAATATTATCAGTGCCTGTCTCAATACAGGCGTCCGCAATGTCAGGAACACTACTCGACAGATTTCTCGGTTGAACAGTATCAGTTAAATTCGTAGGTGGTTGAAGAAATGCCATTTAGGCTCAGCTGACGTGTCTCCTCCACTACCAGACCTTTTGAAGTTGTATTTCTGTAGTTCCTTCCTGAACGTGTTTCTCAGTCCCCTCCATCTCTTCTTAACGTCCTCAACTGAAATACCAACAAAAATACCGGAAATAATACTTGCATACCCCAAACAAGTGATCAAATTACAATAAGTACATTATTCTTTTCAGGTGTCTAGCAACTGGATCGTCGTTCAAAACGCTGGGGTACTCCTTTCGAATGTCAGATGTAACCGTCGGGAGAATTATTCACGAAACGTGTAAACTGATATGGGAATCGTTACAAAATGAACACATGCCATTTCCTTCGGAAGAACAAGTAGACCGCATAGCCGCTGCATTGGGTAAGAAATGGAGATTTCCAAATTGCGTGGGAAGCATAGACGGAAAGCATTTTCGAATTAAATGCCCACAACATTCTGGTAGTATATTCTTCAACTACAAGAAATATTTTTCTATCTTATTGCAAGCAGTGGCAGGAGCCGACTACAGGTTCATTTGTATCGACATCGGAGCCTATGGAAAGCAAAGTGATAGTGGTATCTTTGGTCACTCCAACTTAGCTAAACAACTCGAGAATGGCACCCTTAAAGTGAACTGTGAGACTGAATTACGCGCACCCTGTGTTCTAGTTTGGGATTAAGGATATCCCCTGAAACCATTTCTGATGCGCCCATACCCTCAACGGAATCTAGGACCCGAAGAAGAAATGTTTAATAAACGTTTGTCGCTTGCAAGACAAGTGGAAGAGTGGGCAATGAATGGAGACTACTTGTGAAAGCACTGGAAGTCACTCCCGAGCGAGCAGAACACATCGTAAAATGTATCTGCTTGCTGCACAACATTGTTGTAGACAAAGAAGGAATGACAGAATTACAACGTTCTACACTTGTATTAAGAAACACTATTGTAAATAGATTTGCAACCATAGGTGAAAACAGGACTACTGCTAGAGCTTATGGTGTAAGAGGCACCTTCAAAACTTATTTTGTAAACAATTCTCTCACAAAAGAATAAAATGAACTTAAAGAAGAATTGAAGTAAGATATTTACCTGGTTCATTCATTTCTGCAGACACCTCGCTCCATAACTCAAGCTGCACATTTCGCATGTAATAACTCGACTCTCGTTAATCCCATAAATACCTTCTTTCTAGAACCAGGAGAACTAACTTCTCGACATTCATTGTACAGCAGCGCAGCTGTTCGTCCGAAAAATCCAAAACATATCTGAATGGTTCGCAGTTCGCAAGTCTACACATGTCATCTGACAAACTGTCCGTACAGTCCGTACCAATGGACGCGGTCCAATTTGATCTATCTGGTTCGGATCTTTCGGTCATTTTCGTGCATGTTCGGACGAATCCCACATCGCAGGTGTTCGCATGTTTCTGCGTTCAGTGGACGAGAGCCCTAGGCCATAAATCAGAGGTCTCCAAACTTTTCGAACCGCGGGCCACATTAGGTAATTCAGCACTTTCAACGGGCCGGATAAAATTAGAAATTGATAACTCCAGGTATATGAGTTTCATTGAAAGCACAGAATTTCATAAACTAAATACAAAGTACGTGAGAATAAATTATCGTATATTAATGACAACAGACAGTAGCAGCAAATGCTCATATTTTCATCACAAATTATAATAAAACAATTAATGTGAATGATGGAACTCTTTTTGAATTCTTAAAATCTGATTAAATTGAGGTTCAAATTTTGAAACGCTAATCACAAGTAGCGACTTTAAATGTTCATCGGATAAATTTGCCCTGTATTTCGACTTGATCTACTTCATCTGGGAAAGAGTTTGTTCACACAGATATATCGTCCAAAAAATGGAGATAAATTTACAAGCAAATTTCTTTAAATTTGGAAATTGCTCAGAGTTCAGAAATTTATAAAATTCGATCAAATTTCCTTCCTTGTATTTGTCTTTAATATGACAATTTTCCTGAAGTTCAATAATTTCCATTTGAATTTGACTTGGGACATCTGCAGCATCACAGTCAAACGGATTTTGAAACAATCTAATTTCCTGAGCACTGGCATCCAAATCAGCAAATCGCTTCCGAAATTGTTCTTTCAAATCTGAAATGACTAAATTTGCAAACGAGGAAGGAAATTCTGCTTCACCCTTTTTATGCAACTCTGCACAGTATAGCATATGAACAAAGTTACAATTTTTCACTTGGCTTTCCAGAAGTATCAACTTTGCTCTGAATGCCTTGATAAGTGCAAATAAATCACAGACTAAGTTATTTTCACCCTGCAACTTTAAATTCAAATGGTTCATATGGTTCACCAGATCAGCAAAAAATGCTAATTTCCAAAGCCACTCGGTATCTGATAAAAGTGGGTCGTGATGGTTTTTCTCGGTAAGAAATGTATCAGTTTCATTTCTGAGCTGAAAGAAGCGCGAAAGAACCTTTCCACCGCTAAGCCATCGAACTGCAGTATAATATGTCAGGTCAGTAAGCTCGGAATCACATTTAGCAGTACTCGCTGGAAAGTTAGTTCAATTGGCGCATTTCTGCACAATTCTTTCGCGGGCCGGATGTGGCCCGCGGGCCGTAGTTTGGATACCCTTGCCGTAAATAATAAAAGACCTGCCGGATATATTGTGCCCCACTCCCCTCTAGCTTTGGATAGTTAGTAACATATACATATGTATTAAGAATAACTGAACAATTTCCGATTACTTTTCAGCAAGATCAGACCGCAAATGGCACATGGATATTTGAGTGTCAACATGGGGAGAGTGAATGCCAAGGGAACAAAGAGCAAGCATGTGCCCTTTCACTGTATCAAAACAATGCTTCCATTCAAGTCCAGTTCATCAGCTGCGTCATGAGTACCAGAAGACCACCTACAGCTGGATCACAGGTAATTTTTGTATGAGAAAACATGAACTCATAAGTTTTAGGACAGTTTTTGTCCCATCTTCAATCTTTTATTTTTTGTTTGTCTAGTAGTTGAAGTGTCCATTTCCAAGTGCTGGAAAAAAGCGATAAAATGAGGCATAACATCTTTATAGCAATTTTTTCAACAATACTACAGTGAGACTTTATTATTGACGTCTTTCAGTGTGAAGTTAGTGCCAGTTGCATCCCCTGCACCTGCTACAAAAGCCACCTTTACGTCGTATTATTTGTATAGCTCTGGTACTTAGAGGTGACAGTCCTCCGACGTGGTGTAGGAGAAGTACCTGTTAGTATTGCGGGGAGAGCTCCAGCATGCCGACAAGCGCGGCGGGGAATGCAGTACAGGCGTTCACAAAAGGAAATAACTTCTTACCTGATTGTGTTGCATAGTGTTGGTGGTTTATTCTCGTTGATGTTCACACATCCGATGTTAAGTTTTAAGTGCCGAATGGCACACTGTTATGCACTATACACTATTATACACTTTTCACTGTTATACTATACATGAATAGTTTATTTACATATTATACGGGTCTATTCTAAAGGGGCAACACCGGCGATGTCCGGTTATCTTTTCTTTTCTTCCAGCGGAACCCCAGTTTCAAAATAATTTTCTTTAATGTGGAGATCCATCCTGAAAATCTAACGTTTTCTTCAACTTTTCGTGAACTATTTTCAGGGTAAGTCTCCGTTTTTCGACTCTGTAGAAGTCATTAATTGTTCTTCACACCACAGACTCATTAAAGTCGTCCAAAGTGGCTAGTGGAGATTTCCTGGGTCTTTCTTTATGGGATGTCGAAAAGGAAGTGGAAGCCCCAGATTCGATATTTTTTGTTTCTCTTATTATTCTTCTGACACTACTTTCCGATACACCTGTTGCCTTTGCTACTTCCACTCCTATGTTCTTCACTATAATTCTTGGCCCAGCCTCTTTCATATACTTATATACATTACTAACAATTTCTCTTGATTGTGAATACAACACTTTTCCACTCAATTTACTTCTTGTAGGTGACATGTTAAAGGAGACAGAAAAAATGTACAAATATAAATAAACAAAAAAGAAAATCAACGAATAAAAATAAACAAAATAAAATATTGTCACTGTCACCACTTGACTTCTGGCCCAATACTTCATTCAATGCGACGTCTCAACTATCTTTGGCCGGTGTTGGATCTCACCTGTCTTCGGCGACGGCTGCACCAATACTGACATCTTGCTGTCTTGTTGCTGTCTTCTGTCTCTGTAGCTCTCGGGTTACGTATGTGTTCTGCGGACTGGATCCCAGACATCATTCCTCACTGTTTCGTTTCTACTGTCCGCTGTTACGTAACGGGCGCAACGAACTCTATGCAGTTCATTTCTGAGGAGACGCGTTCGTTGCTTCTGCATTGTCTATGCAACGGCTCCCTGTTCTTTGCGTTACCATGGAAGTGCCTATTCCAAACTCACGTGTTAGGCAATCCGTTGCCTCGGGAACGGGTCGTCCGCTCGCACTGAATGCAGACGAATGACTAATCACAACACCCCTCAACTTTCACGAATGGACCTGCCCATCCAAGGCGCAGCTTTTCCTTGACTGTCAGCTCTAAGTACTAGAGCTTTACAGCTTGTATAAGGATCTTGGAAACATTGTTTAGGACCTCAAATAAGATACAGATGGCTGAAGCTTTCTGTGTACAAAACAAACTAACTCCGCGGCTTTAGTCCGCAAGCGGTGTACTCCATACAAAATCTTCTAGTTGATGACATGTGCTGAACTGTGCTAAATTAACGAAATCAGTGAAGTTTCAGTCTATTTAGAGGGGTCATGGCCATGCCATGTTAAAATGTCACGCAGACAGCAGATGGGTTACCTACATCTGTTGTAAACACAAGATACTGCCCCCATGCCCATTTTACACATTGGTCATTTGACTTCAGCAAGAAACCTTTATTTCTTGTAGTTTGTTTTTAACAATGAATGCAGTGAAGGAGTATCATTGACCCCATGACATAGAAATGTGAATTACATTTATTTCAGTTCCTGCTGATTCATTTTGTCCAGTGACATTGCTCCACTCAGATAAGGTCCCTTCAGTTTTCACTTCCGTATGTACTGCACTGATATCAGACCAAGAAAGACATTTCACAGTAATGCACCCATCTCAGTTTTGAAGCATTATAGGTTTATTTCCTGAAACTGAATATATAGTAATTTTTTGTAGCATTCCTATTTCTGCAAGCAGGATTATATGAGTACTAGTCATAGGTTTTCCTCCCAAACCATTCTTATTCACAGTTCTTGATGGGATTTACTAGAAAAAGTGCGGTAGTACAACAGGAAAAATAATTTTGATTTGGCAAGAAATTAAATTTTTTTATTCTCTTCAAAAATGGCAAAAAAATGTCTGCATAAACCTGAAAAAAACAGCAGCAATAGATTCATTACATTAATGATTTATATAAACATCAGGAACTATATTATGGGTCATTCCACGTGAAAACATCCAGAGAGATCGCTCACCATTAAAAAAAAATTATATCTTGTACACATATTTGTACATATTTTCATACTAAAAGATGTTAAAAAAAATGTAAGTCGCTCGGTTCTCCCGGTACAGGCGTTTTTACAATGCGAAAAAACGCGTTTTCGGCTGAAATGGAGGTTGGCGTTATCTTCCATATCTCGATAGCTATTGAAGCTACAGACTCCAATAAAAACGCAATTTGTTCCTCATGATATGGACTACAAATCATGTTATTACAAGGTTTTACTCAGCTCACTTTCTCTGGGTGTAACTAAACTTGAAACGTTCCCCCCCCCCTTGGCACTACAGTCCCAGTGGGCCTAGGCCTACCTCCATGAACTCCGTTTCACTTCGGTTTTTCTAGATCTTACACATATGGTAGGACTCCTTGGGCGAGTGATCAGCTCGTCGCAAGGCCTCTACCTGTAGACAAACACAGAAAAACGCACACAAACATCCATGCCCAGAGTGGGATTCGAACCCACGATCCCAGCTTCCGAGCGAGCGAAGACAGTGCATGCCTTAGACCGCTCGGCTACCGTGAGCGGCAAACTTGAAACTTACCTATCGATTTTGGGAAAATCGCTATTTTTGACCTTCAAAAACCAATGGAAAGGGCAAGTATCATATCTGAGATTTCTACCCTCTGTTGTTACCTACATGGGGAATATAATCACATAGTTTTGAATGCCGTGCCTAGTTTCCAAAATTTTCTACTAGCTTCCAAACATTGCTCTGGGCCCAATTTCGGGAATTTTTAACATCTCATATCTCCTGTGGGGAAGCTTCGAAAGTTTAGAAAATATTGCTCTATTCTAGAGTAACTTGGAGTTAAAATTATAACTTTGATATTCAATTAATAGCGATTGAATAGGTATTGATTTTTTTGGTAAAATTTAAAGTGCCCACAACTTCACTCTTATTTGAATATCAAAGTTGTAATTTTATCTCCAAGTTACTCTAGAATAGTGCACTATTTGCTATGAATTTAAAAATTTTCGGAGCTTCTCCACCGGAGATATGAGATGTTAAAAAATGTCGATTTTGGGCCCAGAGCAAAGTTTGAGATCTCCTGGAAATTTTTGGAAACAACTTACGGGCTTCAAAACTACGTGATCCTATTCCACATGTAGGTAACAACAAAGGGTAGAAACCACAGATCTGATACTTCCCCCTCCCATTGGTTTTTGAAGGTCAAAAGTAGTTTTTTTTTCAAAATCGATAGGTAAGTTTCGATCTTAATTAGACCTAGAGGAAGGGAGTTGAGTAAAACCTTATAATAATGATTTATAATAGTAATTTATAGTCCATATCATGGGGAACAAATGGTTTCTTATTAGAGTCTCTAGCTTCAATAGCTATCGAGATATGGAAGATAACGCAAACCTCCATTTCAGCCGAAAACGCGTTTCTTTGCATTATAAGAACTTCGCTATTAGTTGAATATCAAAGTTGTAATTTTAACTCCAAGTTTCTTTGGAATAGAGCATTATTTTCTATGAATTTAAAAACTTTCGGAGCTTCCCCGCTGGAGATATGAGATGTTAAAAATGGCCGATTTTGGGCCCAGAGCAAAGTTGGAAGCTCCTGAAAATTTTTGAAAACTAGGTACGGCATTCAAAACTACGTGATTATATTCCCCATGTAGATAATAACAAAGTGTAGAGATCACAGATCTGATGCTTTCCCCCTCCCATTGGTTTCTGAAGGTCAAAAATAGCGATTTTCCCAATATCGATAGGTAAGTTTCAAGTTTAGTTACACCCAGAGAAAGTGAGCTGAGTAAAACCTTGTAATAATATGATTTGTAGTCCATATCATGAGGAACAAATTGCATTTTATTGGAGTCTGTAGCTTCACTAGTTATCGAGAAATGGAAGATAACGCAAACCTCCATTTCAGCCGAAAACGCGTTTCTTTGCATTATAAGAACTTCGCTATTAGTTGAATATCAAAGTTGTAATTTTAACTCCAAGTTTCTTTGGAATAGAGCATTATTTTCTATGAATTTAAAAACTTTCGGAGCTTCCCCGCTGGAGATATGAGATGTTAAAAATGGCCGATTTTGGGCCCAGAGCAAAGTTGGAAGCTCCTGAAAATTTTTGAAAACTAGGTACGGCATTCAAAACTACGTGATTATATTCCCCATGTAGATAATAACAAAGTGTAGAGATCACAGATCTGATGCTTTCCCCCTCCCATTGGTTTCTGAAGGTCAAAAATAGCGATTTTCCCAATATCGATAGGTAAGTTTCAAGTTTAGTTACACCCAGAGAAAGTGAGCTGAGTAAAACCTTGTAATAATATGATTTGTAGTCCATATCATGAGGAACAAATTGCATTTTATTGGAGTCTGTAGCTTCACTAGTTATCGAGAAATGGAAGATAACGCAAACCTCCATTTCAGCCGAAAACGCGTTTTTTCGCATTGTAAAAACGCCTGTACCGGGAGAACCGAGCGACTTACATTTTTTTAATATTTCTTTAGTATGAAAATATGTATAAATAATGTACAAAATATATATTTTTTTTTTAAATGGTGGGCGACCTCTCTGGATGATTTCACGTTGAATGACCCTTATACCTTCATACAAACCTGTGGAATTTATACTTCTGTTGTTAATTCTGGTACCCTGAACATAAAGTAAAGTTCCCTCCAAATTTTGTTTGTGAGATAATAAACTGTCAACATGACTGCTTCAAAGGGAGCAAATGATTTAGAATTGCTTAACCCTTGGAGACTCTCTGTAAGTGACATACGTCATGGATTTAGAAATCTGTTAATATGCATGAATGTGAATCTACATGGAATGGTCTAGTCTATCTCATAAATACATGCAGCTTCGAACATTGCAGTGTGCAACAGTTCTTGGAATCAACTACAATCAAATTGAGGATTGTGCCCAAGGAACAGAAGGAAATGAACTCCTGGCAGAACTAGGTGATCGTACTCACAGTTTCACTCCACACATAAGATTTGTACCAACGGTTGCAATTAATAGAGTGAGTATCTCATACATAATTTTCACCAACACATCTTGAAGAGTATGTTTTCTGAGATGTACCTTATTTTATACCAATCTACCAAATTACATGGAGTCACATTCGAGGAGACCCTTGATATTTACAGCAGCAAGAACTTCAAATCTCAATCCATAACTTAATATAGTGATTCAAAACTTATCAGATAGAGTGCAACATTGAGAAATCTGAACTAATTCAAGCACTAGTGTGTTTGGACTAGCAAATTTTTTGGATTACTGGATTTCACGTAAGTCATCAGAATTATTTTAATAACGTTATTCATTCAGAAGATTTCTAGGCACATGTAAATAATCAAAAAATATACTACTAAACACTGGGTTTGGAGCAAGCGGTAATCAGGTCACATCTTTCACCGCCTAAAGAGGCAGCTCCATTAAAACATTTTTTTCACAAGAATTAGTTTTTGCTGCAAGAAACTAAAATAATTGTACTGAGTCTAAGTTTTGAAGGTGCTGATATTTTAACCTATATTTCTTATTTTGGAAAAATGGAAGTAGGCCTTCAAGATAACCTTACTGTCTGCAGGTGTGGCTCTGTGTGTATCCCCTGCCTAACAATTTCTGAACGTATCTACTGAGCTTCGTGAAAGGTTTATGAAACGCCATATACCCCTTGAACCAATGAAACAATACAGCCTCTCAGCTGTTATTACCTTAAGATTATCGGAATTCCTGAAGAGATCGTCTTGAAACTTGCTACCTGAGGCCATCATGGAGACGTACTTCGTAAATTCCTCCCTTCAGTAATTTTACACATTAAAATTCTGTCCTACTTGTTAAATGAAATATTCAGTTTGTAGCGCAAAGAATGTAGGCAATTTTTTATTGCCAGAACTTTTCTCTTGTACTGTTCAGATTACAAGGAGTGCAGATTACCGAAGTAGCACCGAAGTGTCACGTGATTGTGACTAAATGAGGGTTTCAGATTTGTAATTGTCGTTATATGACACTTAATCTTCCGTTTTACGTGTAAATAATTAGGCAGTTTGCTATCATTTCATAATCTGTTATATATCTCTTGGTTGCTGACTGTGTCCTCACAGACACATTATTACAATTCAAGCTCAGCTAACGAACACTCCTGTGTCAGACAAAGAGCAGTAATTTGCTACTGGCCTTCTCCGGCATTGTCATTCTTGGAGTCGGAACCCATGATCATATTATCAGGTGACAGAGTGACTATAGACGAGGTTTGGATTAGCATCAGATTTGCTGCATTCTTACAGATCCGTGACTACAAGTAATTATAACTGCTTCACTAATTCACATGCTTTACAGTTCACTAGCGCACACACTGAAGGCTCCTCAGCCTGCTGTGTCTTCACCAGTCTTCTGGTAACGGCTTCCAATGGCGGACATTTCCCTTCCTCTGGGTTCCAGAGCTGGCCGCAGCTGCAGCTACTAGCTTCACATAGAAACAGCTCACAAACTCACTAATTCGTCAACCAACTCTTTAACTAACTCGTGAGAGGAGGGAAAGAGAGAGAGAGACAGACAGAAAGAGATAGGTTTTCTGTGTGTGTGTGTGTTTTATGTGTATGTATGTGCGCGTGTGTGCGCGCGCTTGCAAAAAAATATATCTCCGGTTTTGAAGGTTCTCAGGCAGTTCCTGCTTTCCCTTCTGGCAGAGATAACATATATGATATTAATTAGATTTTATAACGCTGGAAGGGCTGCATTACAGTGATATTTGAACTTAACATTGGAAGGGCTATATTAGGGCAAAATTTTGACATTGCCAATGGGAGGGCTGCATCTGAAGCATGCAGAGCAGCATTTGCTCTAGGATCGAGGAAAATCACAGAAAACCATCTACTTGAGCAACTCCTCATTAACTTTAATGCTTATAACATCTTGGCACGAACTGCGTAGAAAACGCAGTTTTTTCATTGAAGTGCAATTGCTGCTTAGCTGTGGCATTATGTATTCCATTGTTGCATGCACATCCATCGACATGAACCGCACAGAAAATGCCTTTCTCTGTGGCTGTTTACGGACCCTTACTTAGCAACCGCTCTTGCATAGTTGCTTAACGGGTCTACTTGCCACTTGCCACTTGCCACATTGCTCAAGACTATTCACCCCAAACAGCCTATAGGCATACTGCCGTTTCTTCTTTTCTCAGGGTTTTGCTTGTGACATCTGTGATTGGTCTTGCCTTCCTTCCCTGTGGCTTGTTTCTCACGATGATTACCCTCCAACTGCCCCCCCCCTTTTCCCTCCTTATGCCCCGTCCTCAGCGGTTATCTCACTAATTCATCAAGCAACTCTTCATTGACTGTCTCCTCACCAACTGTCCTGCTTATGCATCCCAGCACAGATCGCGTGGAAAACGCCGTTCCTCTGTTTCAATGTAATTGTTGCTTAGCAGTGGTATAATTTATTCCATTATTGCATGTGCAGCCATCTGCACAGACCGCGTAGAAAACAATTTCTCTCTTACTGTTTAAGGCCATTACCTAGCAACAGCAGTTATAAAATTGTTTATTTCACGATCGTTGCGTAACATGGGTCTACATGCCACAATATATTTGTTCCTTCCAAGACAATTTATGTGTTTTGAAATGGGGCCTCCTCTTTGACGAGAGGATTGCCCTGACTGCTGCTGTTAGCTACTGCTCTCCTCTTTTGTGGGTTGCAGGTAAATTGCTGCTGGTCTTCCCCCGTAAAGTCATTCTTGATTTCAGGGACCACAGGACCCATGACCATATTTTGCTGAGTCCTCAAACAAATTCTACTCCATTGGTCAGGTTAAGTCAGGTCAGCTTGTGGCTCTCATCCACCTAGTCATTCTTTGCTCTGGGACATCTTCGATGGGAGGAGGGTTGGCCTTTCTGTGTAGGTCATAAATTACGCCATACATACTTTGTCACTTTGCTATAGTAAAATAAAATTTTGTATCATATACTGAGGAGCTGCACAAATCTGCGATTTGTGCAGCTGGTTTTGCCTTTAATCATAAGCATTTAACCATTCAGAAGTGACAGTTAGTTACCTGAACGGCTGTGGGCTTCACCATCGCCAAGTTTAAACCTCTTGTACTTCCTGGCTTCTTGTCCATTTGATACATACTGTCACATGTATGGGAGTACACATGATGAAAATAATGGGTTCTAGATCAGATGATTGGATTTGGTAGAACATCGGTTACAAGATCTCTTAATCACACTTAATTATAACGTTATAATCCTATCGCTATTTTACACACTTTCTATTCACCGTTGCACACGCAATAGGTTCTCATACTTCACTAGCCAACTCCTGGCAACGGAACTCAACACAGAAACTAGCACTTCAAATTACTATAAAGTCCTCTTGCCATTTGTCATTCAATCACCTTGGAACTTCGGAACTCAGCTAAAACTCAACTCAGCTGTACACAGGCTTGTGTTATATGGCTGCAGCGTGGACAATGCAGAAAAAACAGTTCTGCTGTTGCGTAGCACAGACCACACAGAAAACAAATCGTATGATAGCTATCCAGCTAATTGGTTGACACGCTGACGGCTGCCTAGCAACGAGCTATCACATTCATCCACTGGGACACAGATTTCATTGTTTTGTGTGTTTATGGAGCCGTTGCCTGGCAATGCATTGATAAAATCCATTACAGTACATTCAGATTTGGATGATTTTGGAAGATATCTGCCTATTTCCCATATGATTTACTTATGGAGTCATACACATGCCATCCACAGTGGCCTCGTGGTCAAAGGCATGAACTGTTTTCATTTGCTTGAATGCTGGGATTGTGGATTCAAATCCCAATTAACGCGTGGATGTCTGTATGTGAGTTTATTCAATGTTTGTGTTGTCCTGTATGTAGGTAGCAGCTTTGCAACAGGCTGATCACTTCTCAAAGTCCTGCCAACTGTAAAGAAAAGGAGTATGAAGCTGAAGAAGAGGCTCAAGAAAGAGCTGTAGAACCATTGATGAATGACGGAATGAATGAAGGAATGAATGAATGAATGAATGAATGAATGAATCTACTCACAAGGAATTTTGAAAGCTATCTGCAAATCGGCCAGTCACGGTAGCTGAGCGGTCTAAGGCATGCACTGTTCACTCGCTCGGAAGCCGGGATCATGGGTTCGAATCCCATTCAGGGCATGGATGTTTGTGTGCGTTTTTCTGTGTTTGTCTACAGGTAGAGGCCTTGCGACGAGCTGATCACTCGCCCAAGGAGCCCTACTGTCTGTGTAAGATCTAGAAAAACCGAAGTGAACGGAAGTTCATGGAGGTAGGAATAGGCCCACTGGGGCTGTAGTGCCAAGAAAAAAAAAATTGCAAATCGTGGACAGGTGTACACCAGTCAAGGTTGTCAGTAGTACAGAGAACTCTGTTCTGCAGATGCTGCAGTTTCAAGAGGTAAGTGTTCACTGCATTCTCCCAGGTGGGACAGGCATGAATCATTATTGAAATCTAACAGTTCCTCTTCTATCACTCACTGTTGGTCCCCTGTTTTACAGCTCTCATTCGTGCTTCCTAATTATCTCAGGTTATTTTATTTATAAGGTGAGGTTCGTTGTTGTTGGTAGAGCTGAGGGCTCTCTTTCTCAAGGCCTTTAGCTGGCCTCAGCTCCGAGAAGGCAGGAAATAAACTTAAAGCTACACACTCACATATCAAGTTTAACTGTTTATTAAATGTTTATGCCCTTTAACTTACTCAATTACTAATTTTACTTATAACTTTGCTTAATTTTTTAGTTTTTGTTTCTTTGAAGCACAACACTTTTGCTTCTAGCGTTACTACTTCAGAACTTACAACTTGGTTACTAATGCTTATTAATAAGACAATGAAATTTCAACTGACTGATACAAGTTTTGCTTCTGAATTCCAAGACAGCCGGTGTGTGACTGACTTCGACGACTGACTTCCCTCCAAACTGTGAGGTCCTTGGTCCATCAGCTTCTTGGCTCTGTCACACCCCTAAATTCTAGAGATTGGACGTTTTTGAA